ATTTATTAACAAAGGCTAGCTTAATATTTAAAAGCTAGTACTTCCTTTATTAATAAAATTCGGGGTGTTACAGTGTGTGTGTGTGCAGGTTATTAGTGAAGAACAAGGGACTGACCTGAGCAAAGTTCAGATTGATATGCTTGGTTCTGCAAAAAAGGTTAGGGTGTGTTTGTTTATATATTATCGCAATTCATACTCATTCTAACTCAATTCAAACCCACTATTCTCAATATTATCAAATATAATTAAATAAACTTAATTAATCATTTTTACATATCACATCAACTTTTATTCACTATTCATCCACTCACATAATTTTAACTAATCATCACTCCACATCATCTCTCTTACTTTTACATCAAATCAACTTTAATTATTTTATTTTATATATTATTTTAATATAGACTCAAAATCTCACTAAAAACTAACCATACCAATTTTTTCAAAATTAACCATGGTTAACCAAAAAAATTCATTGAGCGGATATTTTTGAAAGCTTGATTTGTTATTACGTTGACTTGAACCTCGACTTTTGACTTGCTTGAGTTTTTTTTCATTGCATTAGGTGACTGTTTCTCTTGATGACACTTTGATTCTGCACGGAGGTGGGGATAAGAAGTCGATAGAAGAAAGATGTGAGCAGGTATTATTAGAAACCAAACAATGACTAACTAAAAGACTACTGTTTATAGTCTACTTTCACTTATCTTCGACATTGTTGATGTTTGTGAAATGTGGATATGTGTATCCTATTAGTAATATAAAAAACACATCAAGTTCAGTTTTTTTTTTTTTCATTTTCTTTCTATCTGTACAGCTAAGGTCTACCATCGAGAATAGCAGTGCTGTGTTTGACAAGGAGAAAGCGCAAGAACGCTTGTCAAAGCTGTCCGGTGGTGTTGCTGTTCTTAAGGTACATCCCTTTTCCAGACAGTCAAATGATTCTTTTCTGTTCCGTTTTCCGCTAGAAACCTCATTTTCTTCCTTTAAATTTAATTTTCTTTTCCCTTATCTTTTCCTCTTTAGGTTGGAGGAGCTAGTGAAACAGAAGTTGGAGAGAGGAAAGATAGGGCAACCGATGCTCTGAATGCAACTCGGGCTGCAGTTGAAGAAGGCATTGTTCCAGGTAGATTTTTGTGTGTTTTTTCTACCGAAAGTAGAATAAAAATAAATCACATAATATATATTTCATACATTTTATTTAATTTTATCTATTTGTTTGCTCCAGGGGGTGGTGTTGCTCTTTTGTACGCTACAAGGGTCCTTAAAGACATCCAAACTGCAAACGAGGACCAAAAAACCGGAGTTCAAATAATAGAGAATGCTCTTAAGGTTCATTCTGCTCTCTCTCTCTCTCTCTCTCTCTCTCTCTCTCTCTCTCTCTCTCTCTCTCTCTCTCTCTCTCTCTCTCTCTCTGTTATTTGCTTACTAACGAATATCGTGCAAAAAGGCACCTACATTTACGATTGCCTCAAATGCTGGTGCTGATGGGGCACTAATTATCGGCAAGCTATTGGAACAAGATGACCTAAATTTGGGTTATGATGCTGCCAAAGGTTTGTGTGCACACTCTCATTTCTGATTTTCTTTAAAAAAAAAATAAAGAAAGAAAAAATATCCCGATTCTACACAACTTTACTCGTTAGTATTCGACTTGTTTTCTCGTTTTGTGACTTTCTTTCCGAAACAGGTCAGTACGTGAACATGGTGATGGCTGGAATTATAGATCCGGTAAAAGTCATTAAGACTGCTTTGTTAGATGCTGCTAGGTGAGGGATTTTTATCATCTTAATCCTGCAAATATTTTACACGGAAGTGATTTTTTTTTATGGTTTATTACTTATCTCATTACTTGTTTTTTGCAGCGTCTCGTTGCTATTGACTACAACCGAGGCAGCAGTTACCGAAGCTCAAGGAGATTAAAAATTCAATTATATGTTAAAATTTTCAAGCGGAGATACTCATTTTTGCTAATTTTGTTATGCTTATACACTGGCTTTCGCCTTTTGCTCGAGGCCGAGCTGATTTTTGTGGGATTTAGGTAAATTGTCCAGCTGAATTACCAAATTAATGAGTTCTGAGTACTCTTTGCTTTTCATTTTCTTTTACCAGCAGTGAACTGTATATTGTGGAGGATGAAGTACAAAATCTACTCACTGGGTAAAAAATGGGATAATTACAAAAAATAATAATTATAGTTTTATTGATTGCATTTATATGATTATAATCTGATTATATAGTTATGTAAATACTAACATAATAAATTGTTAATTGCAAAA